GAAAGCCGATAACCGATGTAAAGGACAAAAAAAATTTAAATCTCAAATGGAAACTGCAAGGAATCATCTACAGTAGATCTTTCTATTCACAATATTCATTCATTCATTCATTCATTCATTCATTTTCTTCGGCTTAGTTCCTTTATTTATTAGGGGTTGCCACAGTGAATGAACCGCTAATTATTCCAGGATATGTTTTACGGATGCCCTTCCAGCCGCAACCCAACACTGGGAAACACCCATACACTTTCGCATTCTCACACATACACTTCGGCCAATTTAGCTTATTCAATTTTCCTAGCGCACATGTATTTGGACTGTGGGGGAAACCAGAGCACCCAGAGGAAACCCACGCCAACACAGGGAAAACATGCACACTCCACACAGAAATGCCAATGGACCCAGCCAGGGCTCGAACCAGCGACCTTCTTGCTTTGAGGCAACAGTTCAAACCACTGAGCCACTGTGTCGCAGTCTTTTCAATGAAGCTTGTGCCCTTCATTTACATGACAATAGCATTATTAAAAGAGAGAAAAAGATTCAAAGGTATTGAAAACGATAGTGCAGATAACCAATAACTCTTTATATTTGAAAAGAGATAACCGATATATCGGTAGATAAACAAAAACATTCTTTCTGCAAATTTACAAACTACAACTATAATGTCTTCTTTTTTTAAGGTGAAAAATGCCCACACTGCCAATGTCTTGTATTTAATACATCCAGCCAATAATTTTCTTATCAGCCTGTTAACCCTAGAAATAAAAATAAATGGCAGCCAATATATTGTGATCTATCCCTTATGTTATAACATGACAAAACATCTTCAGAACATCTTTTAAACATCTTCAGAAAAAGTCTGTTTTTAGTTGAAAATGGTGTTGCGTAAATTCATTAAGAAAATGATTAGTCATGGCAGTGATTAGTCACAAGATCTGACCCAAACATTTTTAAATAGCTAAAGCAGGAGTGGGCAAACTCGGTCCTGGAGGGTCGGTGTCCTGCACAGTTTAGCTCGAACTGTAATCAAACACACTTGCTTATAGATTTCTAGTGATCTTGACACAAAGTACGTTTACATGGACACCAATAATCCGATTTTAATATGATTAAGACAGTACTTTGACTAAGAGTCTAACTAATTTATTTCTGATAATTTCCTAATTTATTGACTAATTTATTCCGATTAAATCAATCATCACGAGAATTGATTTAATCAAACAGAAATCAAATTAAGACATGTGGAGTATGCTAATATTAGTCGCATTATTGAAGTGCAGTACAGACATGTATACACCGCAACTAAACTATTACCGACCAGTAGGATTTTTGGCACATTTTGCGCTAGGATAGTCTGTACACAGCTGTTTGACACTATTCTCAGTCAGTGAAGGATCACAGAGACCTGCATGGTGAAATGTGGAGGTTTTTTCCCCAGCAGTTCATACTCATAGTTCAATCCAATATCTCGGTTGTCATGGGGGGCATGCATGAAATGCTCCTGAATAAAAGTGAAAGTGCCAAACTGCAGTTTGAGTCAACAAATTCAAAATGAAACAACCAAAATTACACAAAACTTCGGAGGAAATGTGGATAGCGTGTTATAACGTGTGTAGCATGCTATAACATGTAAAACGGAAAGAACATTTACAAGCAACTCATGTAAACACCTTAACTTCATTATTGTCTTATTCACTTTAAGACAAATAATTCAATTGCTGATGTCCATGTAAACATAGCCACTGATTGGCATGTTGGATAGTATTGGAGCTAAACTATGCAGGACACCCCTGCATTTTCCCACCCCTGAGTTAAACGGATAGTTTATCCAAAAATTATTTCATTATACAATTAACTCAGCTATCATCTTTCACTTTCTATCTTCTGCAGAACATGAAATCAGATATTCTGACAAATGCCTTTGTGTTTTTGGACCCCACTGATTTTCACTGTATGGACAACAAATATTCTATAAGGCAAAATATTTCATTTTATGTCCACAGAAGAAAGTCAGTCACATTTCCATTAGTTGAACTATCACTTTATGCATACAAATCCTCATATTACTGCCTTGACTTCATCACAACCCCAAGCTTATGGATTGATACATAGAAAAAACAATAACAAAGAAGTTAAATCCATAGCAAATACCATTAAAACTAACTGCTAATTGTCATATTATGGCTTTAGTTTTCTGAATTGGTAGTCTTGATAGTAACAGATTTACAGCCACTACTGATATCTATGCAATAATTATCTATTAAAACCTTAAATTGCATATGTTATTGCACATTTCTGCAATTCAAGATTTACTGAGCATCAAGTCCCTTGTGTTACAATTTCATGTTCAGGTGATTAAAATGATGCAGATGAACATGCGACTCTACGCTTCATTCATTAAAAAAATGATCAGAGCCTCAGATTAATGAGGGTTCAGAATCTAGATACGCTTCAGCATCAACAGGAGACTAAAATGCTAGAAATATTAAATTTAGACAATGATTTTTCTTGCTTAATGCAAAATAAATTTAATTAATATTATAAAAATAAATAAATTAGTTATTAAAGGGAATTAAATACATAGATCCTATAAAATAGGCCAGAATAATGCAGTATAAACTAAGGGTGTACTCACACTAGGCTATCCAAACCATGCCAGGGTGCGTTTGACCCCTATTCCCCAGTTTGTTTGACAAGTGTGAGTGCGCCTAGGCTTGGTTTGGTTGGCTGGCCTTGGCCCAATTGGAATAGGTGTGCAGAGCACGGTTCAGTTGGATTCAGGCACGGTACACTTGTAGTGTGAGTGCAAAGCAAACCTAAGCACAAAACTGAAGACCCGTCGTCACTTAAGGGACTGTTTTGTATGAATTTATTAATCATTCTTACTTTTCTATGAACGCAAACTGTCATAGTTTATTAAAATGCATACCTCACGCTGCACATCAGCTGATATCCTCAGCAAACCTTCTAATATGTGCAGCACAATGACTTTATGAAAGTTTATGAGAGTCAAAAGTGGTGAATTTGTTTAGCAAAAGATTTAAATGTGCATCAAAAATGACTTAAAATAATACAAAACGATAAAACTAAAGCAATCGGCATTGTACTGAGCAAGAGTGCCTCTCTCTGAACAGTCACATCATCAATGACGTAAGCGTGCTTGGGCCCCGAAGGGGAAAATACAGTGTGAGTGTAGGCCGAGGGGGAGAGGGGAGGGGGGACAAGCCCCCCTGGGTTCAATTCAAGGCAACTGTACCTTGTGTAAGGACACCCTAAAGCTAAAACTGCTAGAAAATTTATTCTAAAAGGTCAACCAAATGAAAAAGAAAGAAGTTTTATGTACCAAAATAACAAAAACTAAAATTCACTCAATTTAAATTCAATAAAAAAACAATAGTACAAATTAAAAACAGGTAAAAATATAATAATATTTAAAATATACCAAAATATTAACAAAAGTATTAATTTGTGCAGAACTTGTTCAAGGTGAAATGTTTGGAAGACCTTAGTATTTATTTTAAATTCAAAGATTCTGTAATTATGACTATTACTTGCTGGGATTTAATAGATAAACTGATCAGAGTAAAAATGAATAAATAAATTCTGCTGTCTAAATGAAGATTTGTTAAGTTTCTGACTTTGACAACTGAGCAACACTAAGCTCTCTATCACCCTGGAATGATGTTTGTGACTGATGCACAGTTATACCGTAAAGAACTGTGATTTTTGTGTTCTTTGAGCTGGCAGATGAATGTGCCGCTCTCAGAAAGGATGTGCTCATTGTTGAATTAAGGCCAGACACTTGAGGGATTATTAACTGATTTTCTGCTTTTGGTCCTTCAACAGCTAGTGGCGGCGTTTATTCTGTGAAAAAAAAAACAACCGTGATGTTCCAGAGTGCAGATCATGCTGACCAGAGTAAAAAGATTTTGTACAATCTTGCGAAATGAACTGAAAACGAGCTCGAGATGTGCCGAAGAAGAAGCTTGCGTGATTTCTCCTCAAAAAACCGTACTACTCCAAAACCAAAAGCAAGTGCAAACCGGAGGAGACGTTCATACATTTAGCTGCTCCGTGGATGAATCATGCGTTCCATGCATATGAAAAGATGTGTAAATAGAAAAATAAATGCTTACAAAAATGGCATAGCATCTGTTGTGTTCTCCTCCTTTAAAAGTTCCCAGTCAAATATATAAGCACACAGTCTGGATCTGCCAAGTGCAGTGTCTACCACTAGAGATAAAACGCATGCATTCCATGCAGTGCTCTTTGCTTTGCTGTAGGGCTGCACGATACTGGAAAACAAACGGATATGGCCATATTTATCTTCTGCGGTATGAAGGAACTCTGGGATGTTCTTGAAAGAATTAAAAAATAATACTGAAAGTGCAAGGAGATTTTGTTTTGAAATACAAAATAAAAATATTTTAACTAGTGCAAGCCATCCTTTTAGTGCTGAATGATTTGGGGATTCAAAAAATATATATTATTCAAATTATAAGTAATTACAACCTCCAAAAAATATCTTTCATTAACCATAAAGTGAACTTTATTTATTTTTAATATTTAAATAAAAGTTTCTCACAAAAATAATTTAATTTTATAGTACAACTACACTACCAACACTGGGTTCACACCAAAAAAATAATAATGAACTATTGCGGCAGCTAGCTCTCTGCAACTCTCATATGGTCGCCCACTGAATCTATGCAGGGCTGTGCCTAGTCAGTTCCTGGATGGGAGACCATATAGGAAAGCTAGGTTGGTGCTAGAAGTGGTGTTAGTGAGGCCAGCAGGGGGCGCTTAACCTGTAGTCTGTGTGGGTCCTAATGCTTCATTATAGTGAATGTTCTGTGGTCGTTAAAAATCCCAGGATGTCCTTCAAAAAAGAAGTAGGGGTTTAACCCTGGCATACAAATTTACAAACTGGCCTCTGTCTATCATGGCCTCCTAACCATTCTCATATCATAATTGACTTCATCACCCTGTCTCCTCTCCACCAATCAGCTGGTGTGCAGTCTGGCACAATATGGCTGCTGTTGCGTCATCCAGGTGGATGCTGCACACTGGTGGTGGACGATGAGATCCCCCCAAATATGTATAAAGCACTTTGAGTGTCCACAAAAGCACTCTATAAATGTAAGGAATTGTAATTATTGTTATTATTCACATGGGTAGATTACATACAAAGTTAATGCAAGTGCACAAATATAGGCGTGAATGATGTGGAATTAGTTTTCTATGCAAGATATTCAATTTAAGCAAAAAAAAAACCAACCTAAAATTAGCTTGAGGTGAAAAACATCCTATGAGTAATCTAGAGCAAGTGATGCAGGGCCCTGTGTTTGGTGTGAACACAGCATAAGATTTGCATCTTATTTCTTTATTTACAAAAGGTATAGTTTCAAGGTATCTAAAACTGATAATCTACCTACTAAGTGATTCCAAACCTTCTGAACACAAAAGAAGATATTTAGACAAATGCTAAAACATCAGCGGCCATTGACATCCATAAGAATACAACGGAAGTCAATGCAAAATATCTTCTATTGTGTTGTAGAGAAGAAAGCAATAACAGGTTTGGAAATTATGGAAATGACAGTATATATGCGCTGTAGGTTTGAGTGTAGTGATGGGACGTTTGGATCATTTTACTGACTCTTTGAGTCTCGGTCATCAAGATGAATGAATCTTTTTTTTGAGTAATTTTGTTCAATTTGTTCAATTTGCCAAAATAACAATAAAATGTTACGAGATGCTTCCAAACACATCTACAACTAGCCCAAACGTTGATCACTCTACAAACAAGTCGTAACTGTAATATTATTGTACAAAGCAATGCTACGAAGAAAGAGAAAATAATCCTCCATTGTTTACCTGGTGTTTTACCTATGATTAGCTTTGCTCCCCTCTTCTGGCATGTCTTCAAATTTCAGTCATTCGACACTGACAGTCCCATATCAGCTTAACTAATGCATACAGTCTGAGCCGGAAACACCTATGATTAGTTCACCATTTGAGGCTTCGTTTTTTTGAGTCATTCGTTCATCACGTGACTATGTAAAGAGATAACTCGAAACCAAAGACCCAAGAAATGAAAGGATCAAATCTTTTTCGGGCTCTGAGTGCATATGATTGGCTTCTGTCTTTAACGCGATGAACTAACGACTCAAACCCCATAGAAGACTTTTAACATAAATGATTTTTAACAAAGAGCTCGACACATGCACGTCACTCCCATTTTGAGGTCTCTCCATTGGCTACCAGTGAGACAAAGAACTGAATTTAAAATACTTGTGTATAAAACCGTACATGGCCCGGGCTCTCATTATTTATCTCAACTGATTATGGCCTACACTCATTCAAGACTCTTGCTTTCCATTGATCAGTTTCTATTAAAAGATCCAAAGGCCCGCCTCAAAAGCAGGGGTGAACGTGCATTCGCTATATTTTTACTCCTACTACTACTACTACTATAGCCGGTCCTCGCCTTCGGAACGCGCTGCCGATAGAATTAAAAATGGCTTTGTCACTGCAAATTTTCAAGTCTGAATTAAAGACATCTATTTTCTAGGTCATTTAAAGCATAAGTCCCTTCCTCAGGGGAGCCAACGGTCTTGTTTTTAACCCTGTTTAGTGTGGTCAACTGTGGTAGCATCTTCTAACTAGGAAGAATTATTTAAAGGGGCAATTACTTGTTTTAGACATTGAAACTAAACTGTTTTTGTATAATCTATTTGACATATTTTATGTTCTCTTTTACATCATGTTATTGCTGTTTTGTTTATTATTTCTGTACTGCTTGTTTGTATCTTCTCTGTAAAGCAGTTTTTGCTGCCTTGAAGTCGTTTGGAAACGTGCTATGTAGATAAATCGAACTTGAATTTGAACTTGAACATAGAAGACTCGAAAAATGAACTAATTTTCTCCTCCACCTACACAAATGTGCGCATCCGCAAATGAACGAATCAATACCCGAGTGGACTCATCGTTCTCAAGTCACAAAAAACATTCATTCAAAATAAACGAATCGTTCAAGACCGACCCATCACTATTTAAGTGTACAATGGCACAACTCAAATCTAGTAGTAAAACTGTAAGCCAGTGCGTACAAATCACACCAGTGAGTCTAGAGCCCTGAGCGCATATAATTAATGAAAAATTATAACCGCAGATTGCCAATTTGCAGTAAACCATATCGCAATATTCGTTTAATTTCTATACACACATCGTGCAGCCCTACTTTGCAGGGGTAAAGCGTGACGTGGATACATATTTAGATATGACGAGTATTATGTCTGTGTCTTGACGTGTCGTCATGTTTTGTGCTGTACAAGTCTTTATAAAGAGAGTGTGTGTGGGGGTTTTAGGGTGGTGTACCCCACGCTCCGTCCGACTGAAAGCCATCTCCGGTGGAGGATGGAGGAACAGGTCCGCTGGGTGTAAAGGGATCAGTGTCTGTATCCGTCTCTCCCTCGGCTAAATATCGGCGGTCACGGCCCCAACTCGACCCTGCTGTTAACCCCGAGGCCTTCCCCGTGACCTCTTCTTTCTCCGCTGAGATGCTAAATCCGCTGGGTGACCGCTCCAGCTCCTCGTGAGTGACCGACAGGAGCGAGAGTGGTGTCCCGACCCGATGGCCACCAGTTTGGCTGACGTTGGAGGATGGCGAGTGGCTTGGCAGTGGGCTAATTGGCAGGACGGTCGGTCTCGGCGGATGTGTGTAGTATGGGGTGTTGTGTAGCGGGGGGCCGTAGCTGCAGTAAACGCGGTCGCCCGCTACGCTAACGGTTAATGTGGGGTCGCAGCGCTCCATGGTCATGTGACCCGGGCCTGTGAAGTCATGTTGCATATGCATGTCCACCAGGAAGTCCAGTTTCTTCTCCATGTCTTCCACCTGTGGGATGGTGGCAGAGTTTAGATGTGCTGCTTTGAATAAGGAAAGTGGTTTTTAAGCTGGGGTCTCTAGTAGGGGTTACCAAAGATTTATGAGGGGTCACTAAACTTGAAAATAAATAAAAACAAAACTCGTCAATCACAAAAGAAATTGTAACCTGTTTGATAAACCATGTACATTGCTTAGGCCCTCAGAGATCTCTCTTTTAAATGAATGTTTTTTATAGGACGCTTCACAATAATATTCATGCATTCATTCATCTTCTTTGGCTTAGTCTCTTATTTATCAGAGGTCGCCACAGCGGAATGAACTATTCCGGCATATGTTTTACGCAGCAGATGCCCTTCCAGCCACAACCCAGTACTGGGAAACACCCATACAATCTCATATTTACACACACCGACACTCATACACTACGACTAATTTAGCTTAATCAATTCACCTACAGTATAGCGCATGTCTTTGGTCTGTGAGGGAAACTGGAGCACCCGAAGGGAAACCTACGCAGAAATGCTAACTAGGCCCAGCCAGAGTTCAAACCTTCTTGCTGTGGACGACTTTGCTAACCACTGAGCCACTGTGCCACCCTTTCCAATAATATATTTGTGCATATAAATTAGATTAATCAGTACCAAAGATGAAGCTGGAACTAAATCTAACGAAAAACATAATATCACAGTAAACAAACTAGTACACCAAAATTAATATGCAAGGAAAAAAATGCAATACAATTTTAATTAACAGGAAAAATCCAGAGAAACCTAAAAACTATTTGTAATTTCTTTTAAAAAAAAAAGTTGTAATTTTCTTTTGTAATAACTCGTTTAAATTTAAATGTATTGTCTTTCTATTTCTAAAGGTGTTAGGTGATCAAACTCTTATTTTAATGAATATAACTGCTTAATAAAACCGTTTTGTTTAATGCACCAAGGATTATTGGCTGTATTTATTGAGTAATGGGCAAAAATATTTATTCACAAAATAATTACTAATAGTGTATTTAATTACAACAATAAAAAAAATCAGCATCGAGCAAAATGCTGCATAAAAATATGGACATACATTTTCATTTAGACTGTCTGCTGTTTTTGTTTTGTGATGGAATTTTTTAATATTGATGATCATATGTTGATGACTGACAATTATATATCAATATTATAAATAGGGATGTCCAGATCCGATCACCTGATCAGGACTTGAATATATATTTCTATATATATATACATGCATATATACATATATCATACTTAACACATCTATGGTTATGCGGTGGCACAGAATTAGACATCTTTGTTAACAGAGTTGTTGAATGTTAGTTAATATAAGGTGAATTAAAAAAAGAAATAAGTAAAATCCTGGATTTGTTTCTTTGCTCTTCTTTATTCTTTTTTATGTCTTATAGAAGTATCGGATCGCCTTACAGTATCAGTAGATACTCAAAATCAAATCACTCGGACTTGAGGGGAAAAAAACTGATCGGGACATCCCTAATTATAAATTGATTAAGGTTATGCTAAAGTAAAAATCAAATGCATTATAATCATTGGGCTATTACAGACATATGTAATCTATTGGTTGTTTAAGAGTTAAGAAGCTGTACAAAAGTTCTTATCTAAAACATTGTAACATTGTCTTTAAAAATGCCTGTGAATCCAATCTAGGGATTCTTTTGCTAACAAAGGCTGTTCAATCTCCAGAGAATTAAAGCAATTAAAAGACAAACTTTGTCTGACTTAATTCAATTTCAGTCTTCACATCTTAATGTATTACTTGTGAACAGGAAGAAGAACTTGCCAGTAAATTTCTTATAATAGATCTATTCAGACTAATGTAAAAGTTTTTTTTTTTTTTTGTAAGATTTATTTTTGGCTTTTTTTTTTTGCCTTTATTACATAGGACAGTATTGAGACAGGAAGCGAAGTGGGAGAGAGAGAGGGGGTAGGGAAATGTCATCGAGCCAGGATTCAAACTCGCAACGCCCTGACGTGCTATTGCACCATATGTCGGCGCACTAACCACTAGGCTATTGCGCCGACGACTAATGTGAAAGTTAAACTGAGCATTTCTGTTAAGTGAAAATAAGCATATTGCGCATAAAACTGCGTTATTATTATTACTTTAATTGTTAGGCAGTTGTTACAGTATAAAAATCGAAAAACTGATTGTTGAACTTTTGTCTGCTTGGTGAAGAGGGCGGGTGAAGGATTGTTTAGAATATTGAATGTTAAAATAGGTCAATCTGGAATAAAGGTTATAAACCTCTGAATTAAAAGGTGAGATTATGTCAGAGGGTTTGAGTACCTGTCTCTCCACCCGCACAAATCTACCCATCATGCTTTGGTCTTCGGGATCTGGCAGGCTTGTTTTGGCAAGGTATGACTCCTGTCTGGGAGAAAGCAGGAAAGAAAATTAAATAATGAATAAAACTTTGTTAGAACTGTTGCACTTACCTAATTTGAGCAAATTCTAAAGCTGGCTCTTAGTTTATTAATCAGAATTATTGAACGTGATTTGTGATTTAAATGTTTTGTTTTATTATAAAGGTCTTATAAAATAAAATAAAATCCTTCTCAATTTTCAAATAAACATTGTTATTTAGAGCTTCTTTTCATAAAAACGACAGCTGCCCCGAATAGCAAAAGTGTTTAGCGAAAACCATGGAATATTTTTTCACTTATGTGAAGTGAAATCGTTGATGTTCCGAAGTCAAAAATGCATATAAATAAATAAATATATATATATATTTGCTATTTTATTATTAAAAAAAGCTCTAAAGGACAAAAAAAAATTTTTAATTTGTAAGAAATATCATAAGTATGTACAGAAAAAAAAAGTTTTACTCAAATACATAAGTATACATTTTAAAACCAGAACATTTTCAAGTGGTCTCTTAATCTATTTCCTACATATGTATATGCAAGTTATTATCATTTTAGATTTTATATACATTTTTGCATAATTAAAAATGTGTGGGCTCAAATCAAATTGCAAGTTTAAATCAAGAAATCTAAAATCTAATACAAGTTAAAGGTCTTCTGGACTTGGATGTGACATGAATCCACAAAACTGTTTATCTTACTGAAAGAAGCATGTCTGAGGTTCATTTGCATCTCAATAAAATATGCACATGTACAAGTAAATAGAAATGAAAGTAAATATCCTTTATTATGAATGATTTCAGTTTTTACCTAGGAGACTGCTGGGATGGGTACGGAAATGGAGTTTTCTGGGGCTTCTTGTGTTTTGGAGTCAGAGTTGGTCCAGGAGTCAGAATCAGATCTAACCTGAAGATGAAGCAAAGCCAGATATTACATTTTTAAAGAACCAACTGAATAAATCATCACAAATAAATTGCATCTTAAAAGGGTCACATGACATGATTTCATGTTTTTTTTTAGTCTTTGAAGTGTTGATATATATTATAAGATTGACTGTCTCAACATAAGAGATATTCTTTATTAAAGTTAAGACTCATCTACGGGTTCATAATATTCATTCAAGCACACTCCAAAAAACCTATAACTCCACCCATATGTAAACGATGTAGTGGTTGATGCCAGGTCATGGAGACTCTGTGTGTTTCATTGTACAAGCAAAACTACTAAAATCAATTAGCTTGGTCATCTGTATTTTCCAATCACAATGCACAGGATGGCTGGCCCATCAGAGCACACTACAAAGAAAGGTGGGCCAGAGGCAAGCAACAATAATATATGGAATATGCATTACACATTGCATTACACCAAATACACAAAATAATGTTAGTTTCCAGCAATATCATATGAACCAATTTTGCATTTTGAGTATGTGTGTGGGGTACCGTGTCTGCAGATATTTGATTCTGGTGAGCATGTCGAGGTGTCCAGCAGAATACTGTTCAATCACATCCTTCACATCATATGGCCTCAGAGTCTCCTTAAAACGCTTCTTATTCAGCAGGAACATTATAATCCTTCAACACACAAATGATTCCACAGTCCAAATGATAGACATTTTTCAAAGATCTGTTATTTCTGTAAAAGTGTTTGTAGATGTACACTACCATTCCAAAGTTTGGGGTCTGTAAGCGTGTTTTTGAAAAGTGATCTTATCTTTTATTTGCATATTATACAGTATACTGTAACTGTAAACAATAATTCTGTGCAGAGTTATTACAATGTAAAATATATATATATATATATATATATATATATATATCTATATATTTTATTTTTTTATTTATTTTTTTCTATTTTTATTAGTGCGTTAACACATCACGCCATTAAGCGCGAATCATCTCAGACTGGTTTCTTGAACATGACAATGAATTCACTGAACTCAAACGGCATCCACAGTCACCACATATCAATCCAATAGAGCACCTTTGGGATGTGGTGGAAAGAGAGATTCACATCATGGATGTGCAGCCACTGCAGCAACTGTGTGATGCTATTATGTCAATATAAACCAAAATCTCTGAGGAATATTTCAAACACCTTGTTGAATCTGTCACAAGGGATTAAGGCAGTTTTGAAGGCATAAAGGGGCCCAACCCGGCATTAGAAAGGTGTACCTAATAAAATGGCCGGTGAGTGTATGTGTTTGTGCGTATTTATACATATATACATACATATACACAGTACACATGTATATATTATTTAAATACAATCTTGGATGTGAATAATTATTTCACAGCACTAACTATTAATTATTAATTAGTTATAATCTTTCAGAAGTAACACTAACAAGCAAATTGTGTGCTTAAGAAATATTTCTTCTTATTATTATTAATATTGAAAACAGTTATACTGCTGCATATTTTTGTGGAAACAGTGTATAAATACCTTAATATGATGCATTTGTTCAAGATTTTTTAAGAACAGATAATCCAAAAGAACAGCATTTATTTTAAATATACAGTTAAAGTCAGAATTATTAGCACCCCTTTGATTTCTATTTTCTTTTTAAAAACAATTCCCAAATAATGGTTAACAAAGAAAGGAAATTTTCACAGTATGTCTGATAATATTTTTTCTTCTGGAGAAAGTCTTATTTGTTTTATTTAGGCTCAAATAAAAGCAGTTTTAAATTGTTAAAAACCTATTTTAAGGTCAAAATTATTAGCCCCTTTAAGCTATATTTATTTCTGATCGTCTACAGAACAAACCATCATTATACAATGACCTAATTACTCTATCATGCCTAGTTAACCTAATTAACCTATTAAATGTCACTTTAAGCTGTATAGAAGTGTCTTGAAAAATATCTAGTAAAATATTATTTACTGTCATCATGGCAAAGATAAAATAAATCAGTTATAAGAAATGAATTATTAAAACTATTATGTTTAGAAATGAGTTGAAAAAATCTCTTCGTTAAACAGAAATTGGGGAAAAAACTTAATGGCAGGGCTAATAATTCAGGGGGGCTAATAATTCTGACTTCAAATGTATGTTTTCTGTCACTTTTGACCAATTTAATGCATCACTGCTGAAAAAAATACTAAACTCTTTAATATACGCAAACTTTTAAGTGATAGTGTATCATGTTTATGTGTAAAAATAAAAATTAAATTAAATGAAACGAATAAAGTCACATTTGAAATTAATTAAGATAAAGAGTTTTTAATGATGCATGTTTTGGTATTTGTGTACCGCAGTGCTCGTATCACTAGTTTGAGAGTGGGAATCATCTCCTCCAGCAGTATATCAGGCGGGAAGCCCTTCTCCTCAGGGGTGGGATCAGGAAGACCACCAGTATCTGCAATTAAGCAACAAAACAAGGTTAGGTTAACTTCATTTTTATGACTGTCTACTATAGTTGTTTATGAAGGAGTATATTGCCTCTAATATTATGCTTATAATTATAGTGTCTATTACTATAATATTGTTTATTACTAAAAGTGTGTATGTTTATGTATATTGTTTATGCAAATGGACTGTAGAGTCCACATGTCAGTTGGTACTATTATTTTACAAGTGTGCATTAGTTTTAACATTAGTTCTCAAAATAATTGCTTCAGAAGAGTTGAAAATAAAGTTTTCTATAAGGAAGCAATATTTGATTTAGAAGTTTTTATTTTACTATTGTAAAAGCTATTTGCATAATGACATATGGTGCATCCAGAAAGTATTCTTAGCGCTTCACTTTTTCCACATTTCTTTATGTTACAGCCTTATTCCTAAATGGATTAAATTCATTTATTTCCTCAAAATTCTACACACAATACCACATAATGACAATGTAAAAAAATATTTTTTGAAATTGTTGCAAAATTATTTAAAATAAAAAACCTGAAAAATCACATGTACATCAGTATTCACAGCACTTGCCGTGAAGCTCTAAATAGAGCTCAGGTTCATTCTGTTTCCACTGACCATTCTTAGGATGTTTCAGCAGCTTAATTGGAGTTCACCTGTGGTAAAATCAGTTGATTGGACATGATTTGAAAAGGCCTACATGCATCTGTTTATAGAAGATCCCAGGATTGACAGTGCATGTCAAAGCACAAACCAAGCATAAAGACAAAGGAATTGTCTGTAGACCTCTGAGAGAGGATTGTCTCGAGGCACAAGGTTGGGGAAGGTTACAGAAAAATTTCTGCTGCTCTGAAAGTTCTAATGAGCACAGGGGCCACAATCATCCGTACGTGTAAGATGTTTGGAACCCCCAGGACTCTTCCAAGAGCTGGCCGGCCATCTAAGCTGAGTGATCGGGGGAGAAGGGCCTTAGTCAGGGAGGTGATCAATAACCTGACGGTCACTCCATCTGAGCTCCAGTGTTCTTCTGTGGAGTGAGGAGAAACTTACAGAACAACAACCATCTGTGCAGCAATCCACCAATCAGGCCTGTATGGTTGCGTGGCCAGTCAGAAGCCACTCCCTGCCTGGAATTTGCCAAAAGGCATCTAAAGGAGTCTCAGACTATAAAAAATAAAACTCTGTGGTCTAATGAGAGTAAAGCAGAACTCCTAGGAGTGAATGCCAGGCATTACGGTTGGAGAAACCAGGCACAGCTCATCACCAGGCTAATACAATCCCTACAGTGAAGATTTGGGATGATATTTGGGATGGTGTTGTGGGGATGTTTTTTAGCAGCAGGAACTGGAACACTAGTCAGGATAGAGGGAAAAATGAATACAGCAATGTACAGCGACATCCTGAATTAAAACCTGCGTCAGAGAGCTCTTGACCTCAGTCTGGGGTGACGGTTTATCTTCCAGCAGCAGAATTACCCAAAGCACACCATCAAAATATGGCTTCACAACAACTCGTTGAATTTCCTTGAGTAGCCCAACCAGAGCCCTGACCTAAATCCTATTGAACATCTCTGGAGAGATCTGAAAATGGGTGTGCACCGTCGCTTCCTATCCAACCTGAGAGAGCTTGAGAGCTACTGCAAAGAGGAATGGGTAAAAATTCCCCAAGATAAGTGTGCCAAGCTTGTGGCTTCACATTCTAAAAGACTTGAGGCTGTAATTGCTGCCAAAGGTGCATCAACAAAGTATTGAGCAAAGGCTGAGAATACTTATGTACATGTGATTTTTTTTGGTGTTTTATTTATAATAAATTTGCAACAATTTTAAAAATCTTTTTTTACATTGTCATTATGGGGTATTTTGTGTAGAATTTTGGGGAAATAAATGAATTTAATCCATTTTGGAATAAAGCTGTTACTTAAAAATCTTGGAGAAAGTGAAGCGCTTTGAATACTTTCCGGATGCACCATATGTGGTTGATTTTAATAATGGTATATAATAACAGTATTCAAAGGTTTGAAACGAAATGTTAGAGGAATTAGCATTCGTTGTTTATTTCAATTGAGGCACATGTTCTCTCTCAATGTGTGTGTGTGTGCGTGTGTGTTAGACAAACCTACACTAAAAGCATAACATATCCCAAAAAAGACAGTAATACTTGGTATTTTTGACATTATGGGGCCACTTAGTCTGGCACCACAATGAAAACAGCTTATAAATCATCCTAACTGAAGCTTTTATGAAAATGTAAAGGCACAGAAGGTTTACTGTGAGGTTTATGTTTACAGGTAGGGACATGAAATATGATTAGCACAGAATAAGAAGCCATTAGACCCTTAATGGTATAAAAGGAGATGTGTGTGTTTGGAAGTGTGTCGTACCCTCAGAGCTCTGTCTCAGGGCGTAGGCCTTCATTCTGAAAGCAGTTCTAAATCTCTCTCTGTTACTGAATCCCGCTGGTTTGCCCTCTTTTGATGGACTCTCTTCAATGGCCTCCGCCGGCCCACAGTTCCCTGGCACACTTTCAGGATTGGCAGCAGGCATCATGACGCGGGCTCTCACTGTGGATGGCCTCGGAGTCGACAGACGAACACGATCCAGCAAACTCAACTTCTGACTGAAGAAAACAGAATGAAAGAACTGTTTAATCTCAGAGCTGCTAACACTTTATTTTATTATTATTTATCATTTCGTTATTCTTATCAGGTCTTTTCACACTGCACTGACAGTAACACTGGGTTATTGTTCAAACGCTACTATTAAAGAGATAGTTTACCCTAAAAATGAAAATTTAGTGATCATTTACTCATCATTCACATGTCTCAAACCTGTTTAAGTTTCTTTCTTCTGTTGAACCCAAAAGAAGATATTTTGAAAAATTATAAAAATCTGTAACCAATGACTTCTATTGCATTTGTTGTTCCTACTATGGAAGTCATTTCTGGTTACAGGTTTCTGACATTAAAAACAACTGAAAAAACTGAAAAAAGACAGGCACACAGGTTTGAAACCTATTGAGGATGAGTACATTTTCATTTTTGAGTGAACTATCCCTTTAACATTAGATAAATGAGTGTCACAAATGTGTTTAAGAGGGAGTTTTAAAATGCAAGATTAAAATATTCAATTATTGGGGACAATCCCAAACAGTCATGGGAAATTAGCAAACTAGAAAAAGAGACGAATTCAATCTAATAATTCTGCTTCAGTTTGTCATTTGAAAGACATCTACTGATTTTGTTTAAACATTTGTTGACAATTGAAAGAATGATTGTTCAGCTTGTGTGTATTTCATAGTACATAACGCTGTGTGAGCATCAGCCACTGCCTTGAGCATCAGAGCAGAGCTCCTTAATATTCACGACCCTTCCAGATAAGGTAAAACAGAACGTTTTTTTATAAAACAGACAGCATCAGAATGGGAAAGAAAGGTGCTTTAAATGTCTTTAAATGTGGCATGGTTGTTGGTGCCAGACAGGCTGGTCTGAGTATTTCAGAAACTGCTGATCTACTGGGATTTTCACACACAACCATCTCTAGGGTTTACAGAAAATCGTCTGAAAAAAACAAAAAATCTAGTGAGCGGCAGCCCTGTGGGAACAAATGCCTTGTTGATGACAGAGGTCACAGGAGAATGGCCAGACAGGTTCCAGCTGATAGAAAGGCAACAGTAACTCAAATAACCACTAGTTACAACCGAGGTATGCAGAAGAGCATCTCTGAACATCTCTGAATGTCCAACCTTGAGGCGGATGGGCTACAGCAGCAGAAGACCACACTGACTGCCATTCCTGTGAGCTAAGAACAGGAAACTGAGGCAACAGTTCACACAGGCTCACCAAAATTGGACAAAAGAAGATTGGAAAAATTTGCCTGGTCTGATGAGTCTCGATTTCTGCTGTGTGATTCAGATGGTAGGGTCAAAATTTGGCATCAACAACAAGAAAACATGGATCCATCCTGCCTTGTATCAACGGTTCAGGCTGGTGGTGGTGGTGTAATGGTGTGGGGGATATTTTCTTGGCACACTTTGGATCCATTAGTACCAATTAAGCATCGTGTCAATGCCACAGCTTACCTGAGTATTGTTGCTGACCATGTCCATCTATTTATGACCACAGTGTACCAATCTTCTGATGGCTACGTTCAGCAGGATAACATGCCATGCCAAAGTGCAAATCATCTCAGACTGGTTTCTTGAACATGACAATGGGTTCACTGTACTCAAATGGCCTCCACAGTCACCAGACATCAATCCAATCACAATCCAAGCACCATTGGGATGTGGTGGAACAGGAGGTTTGCCTCATGGATGTGCAGCAAACAAATCTGCAGCAACTGCGTGAAGCTATCAAGTCAATATGGACCAAAATCTCTGAAGAATATTTCCTGTACCTTGTTGAATCTATGTCACGATGGATTAAGGCAGTTTTCAAGACAAAAGGGGGTCCGACTCGAGTAAGGTGTACCTAAAAAAGTGGCCAGTGATTGTATATGCTTGTGTGCGCGATTTAGAACTCTTGCTTGAACTGTACAAATAATGTCCAAACTATAATCTTTAAACTTTTCTAAACTGTTTCTAACTTTCCACCCAGGCTGTGGAGATGATTGTTTATCTCGACAAAACTTTCCTTTGTTCACTTTATCAAGTTTATTATAAGCATGTGTGTAGGCAGTAGGTCTGTGTCTATTGTGCAGGTCATTCCATAAGAGCCAAAGCCCTGGAGCGCCTGTTGATCTTAATGTGGCCCTGCACACACATATACAGTACACACACACACATAAACACGCACTCGTCCTGCAGGAGAAACTAATCCCTTCCCAAGAAACAACGCAGGGCTTTCTACTGTGAAGTGTCCCTAAGGATGAACACACACACACACACACACACAGACAGACTATGCACTGCCGCACACACAGCATCTCTTGAGTACAGTGAAAAGAAGAAGATTGAAGTGGTGAGAGGGACTGAAACATCTCAAAATGCTCCACAATTACAGCTGATTACCAACCAGTTACTGATACAACACTTTCCCACACACACACATACACACATATACCGCAAAATCTGTCTGCAGATCATTCAGGTTGTCTGAGAGGGTTTTTAATGATTGAAAAGTGACTCTGTGAGTACTCGTGTGTGTGTGTGTGTGTGTGTGTGTGTGTGTGTGCGTGCTGCAGACAGGAGCTCATCGGACATACAGGAAAGCAGTGAAAACGTGAGAACGGACAGGAAGAGAATCAACGCATAGATTTCACATGAATGGAGCACAATATCATGAGCTACTCAGTAGTGTGTGTATGCTCCAGTTTCTCCATTTCAAGCTTGTTTTAGTAGGTCATTGATAATGTCAGGCTGCAGGTTTCCCAGACATTTGGCTTTGTCTTGTGTGTGTGTGTGTGTGTGTGTGTGTGTGTGTGTGTGTGCGTGTGTGTGTGTGTGTGTTTGTAGTGGTCAGGTATTGCTTACATTGTTGGGACAAAATGTCTACAAATGGATAGAAAGACCTGAAATCACCCTTTGCTCTAGATAATATTTTCATCTAAAAGTGTTCCTTTGGAAAAATAACAAACTAAAACTTTGCATTTAAATATGAAACAAATATATTATGCAAGTCTTCTGAGTAGACAACACAACTTGTTAGAGAATTCAAAACTTCTCAAAAATTAGTCAAAAATTATTTTGCAAGAGAACACCAGTTTTAAAAAGTAAGATTAATGAAATACATTCACTCATTCATTTTCTTTTCGACTTAGTCCTTTTATTAATCAGGGGTCACCACAGCGGAATGAACCACCAACTTATCCAGCATATGTTTTATGCGGCGGGTGCCCTTCCAGCTGCAACCCATCAATGGGAAACATCCACACACACTCATTCACACATACACTACGAACAATTTAGCCTACTCAATTCACCTATAGCGCATGTCTTTGAACATACAATTTTCACACAGAAATGCCAACTGGCCCAGCCTGGACTTGAAAAAGTGATAGCGCTACACATTTAGCCACCATGCCACCTAAATGAAACAATTAAGAAAAAAAAAAAACTAAATAACTGTGTTGTTTCAGCTCAATTTTAATAAGTAGTTTGAACAAACAGCAAATGTCATTTATTGAGTGTATGACATTTGCAGTGGAGCAGGAGCAATTTACAATCTCACAAGTAGTGGCACTTTAAGTTGAACACACCTACTCACTGTCTCACTGCCAATTATTTCCTGTATATTTACAGTGAAACTGTCAAAGTCACATCTCAAATATAGGAGAAGCATGATTTTGCTGCAGACAACTTCTCTGTTCATTGTAAGCAATGAATTAAAATGACGGGCCTATATTAAAAAAGGTTCCTTAGAGTTTGTAAGTATTTATCAGTGATCCACCCGCACCACTTAAATTAGAAATCATTGCTACATTATTTCCTGTTGCTTCAAATATTAAAGGCACAATGATTTTCCAAGAAGTCTGCAGTAATGTTACAAATGCTAAAATGTTTTAGCATTCTTAGTCGTCTCGTTTCATTCCATAACAAAAATGAATCCTAATCAACTACTTAAAGAAAAAAAAAAAACACATTTATTTGCTAATATTTTGTTAATAGAAGTCCAGTTAATTTTGAGGGGCTTTTTGTTTTATGTTAATAATAAACTATAGTCAAAACATCAGCCGAACAATTACAAAGCCAGTTAAAGGGTTAATATATCTTGTAGGTAATGCATCAAATCTGTTTTTTAGCTAATATCACACACTGTAAGGTATATTTAAAGTTGTTATGGGAGATGAGCCACCCCACATGATCCTCTGCAGCAAACTGTCACCGAAGCATCAACAGGTAATGTTTACACTGGTTAGCATGCATGCTAGCAGCTACAATCACCTAAAGGAGTACTTGAGGAGTAACTGAGGCAATTGAGGTAGTTTAGTGTGTCACAACAGTGATAATGTCAGGCTGCAAGTTTCCCAGCCAACTAGCCTTGCGTATGTTTGCGTAGGTGTGTGGCCTGCAGCAGTGTATTAGCAGTATTAGCATGTAATCTGATCTCCCATCTGGACTGAACATGGATTACAGGTCTCGGGTCAGGTGGTCTAAACAAGCCCCGCTCTCAATCCGGCTCTCCTTCTGTTTCTATCTGTAAATCTTTCATCTTTTAATAAATGGACTGTCAGGCCAGTGTCCAGGTCAAGGACAACCGATACTCGCGATTATTATAAACGCAGTCCATCTTTGTCAAAGCTCGTCACGCTCAAATCGCTAATAACAGTTCCCATCATTTTCCTGACAGTGACACGGACGTCACACACATCCAGCCGTCCATTAAAACTCTCCCTCGGCTCTGTACTGACACCCACATCTATCAGTGATCCATAATTCACTCTTTTCTAATGGACTCTGTAATATCACATATAAAAGTACTGTCCGCATGTCCCCGAACTGAGAAACGAGCTCACACACACACACACACACACACACACACACACACACACACACACACACACACACACACACACACACACAGTAACGCACCGCTGGTCATTACGCCTCTGGCACTGAATTAATGGAGGTGCTGGTTATTAGGAGTTATTTAAGGAAACACATTTCACAGATTCATTAATCTCACACTTCACTGAGATGCTGGAGGTCTTTAAAAACAGTGACTGAGAAAGAGAGAGGCAATGAGAGAGAGAAAAACAAGAGAGAAAGAGAGAGGCAACGAGAGAGAGAAAAACAAGAGAGAAAGAGAGAGGCAATGAGAGAGAGAGAGAGAGAAAAACAAGAGAGAGAGACTTACCTGGCCATAACTTCAAGAGGATCCTTCCTGCAGGAGATGACAGTAACAACACACACATTTAGTTCATAATTATGACAATGATAAAATTCCAATTAACAACGAATGACTCTGTTTGAATATTCAGTTACACAAGTACTGTACACATACTGATATAATTTGGTAATATTGATGAAAACCTACTGTATGAAGTTATGATAATAAATATTGAAGGAATAGTGCTATATATATATATATATATATATATATATATATATATACACATACAAACATACATATATATAATACACTGTATATATATTTGTATAGAAGTTTCTGAAATTAAATGACAGAGCCAGTGTCAGTATATAAATACCAGTGGAGGGGTATGAATAAAGGCTAAATAAAATGTGTGTGTGTGTGTGTGTGTGTGTGTGTGTGTATATATATATATATATATATATATATATATATATATATATATATATATATATATATATATTCTGTTTTAAGATAAATTGTGCCAGTTTTATCAGCCCTAGTTGCAACTAATGGAACTGCAAAAGTAATTATATAAACATGCAAACTTACATTACAATGCAATGCATTATGTTATTATACAAAATAACTAAAAACAAACAGGCATTTCTATTGTTATGTTAGTATTATTTATATACAATTTTTCCTTAATACTATTTTTGATAAGCTTATTTATTCTACTTTATTCTGTTTTATTTTATAATTTGATTTGAGCTAAATTTGTTGTGATTGTTTTATTTACCCTTTTTAATATTACAACTTAAGAGTTTGTTTAATTTATTTCAGTGTTTATGTAGTTATATTTTAGTATTAAATAATATACTCTATTAGTAAAAAATGTTTTGATTTAGCTTATGAAATTATATTTTATTGCATTTTAATTTTGTTTCATTTTTATAAATACTTAAATGTGTGTTTTTAATCATGATTTTTGTATAAATAAATAAATAAATAAATAAATAAATAATTCAGTGTTACATTGTCTCTGGCTTAAGGCATTACTAACTAACCTGACCATATTAGCCCCTGCTGGCAGATATTGTAACTACACTATATAAATATATCTTTTACATTGTCAGTCAGTTAAAAAACTTCCGTTTTCAGGAATCAAATATAAATTGCAAATATTTTACATAATTACAACAGCAATTTTACAACCAACCAATTTTTTGAGAGAGCTCATAAAAGCATTAAACTGTCATATATTTGTTCATGTCTGATATTACTATTGAATGATTCAAGAATGTGTCCATTATTACTATATTTTATTTTCACATTTTTAAGGGACATTAGAAAAAAAACATCTTCAAAAGATCTTTTTATACAGAGTGATATATTTTATACCTGTCGTCAAGTTAAACTGAGTTTTTTCATTACTATTTTTCATTGTAATATATCGTCCACGCACAAGTGTGAATACCTCACTGTAACATCTAGCAGACCTCTAGATGATGCTGTCTCTGCATGCAGACAAACACACATATGGATATAAACAAGACAAATCAACATTAAAAGATGCAGAGAAATCAAGACAACAACACAAGTAAAAGCTGTCATGAGCAACACTGAAATGATAAAACAACCCAGTGGTAACAAAAAATCATGATGATAACAAACATGAAAGTAAATAAACTAAAACAAAGTATAAACACTCAGCCACTGAAATGATTTTTAATGAGATGTGCACAGAATGTATGTGTATGATACCTGAAGCATGGCAGAGAGATCACAGTCTCATAGAATCTCCATGTGGCGATGAGATCTTCTCTGACGGGGTTGGTGGAGTAATATCTCCATGCAGCCTGAAATCAATATTCAAAACTGAACATTAAAGGAACACTATTTCAATTATCTGCTTTTACAGCTCAACATCAGAGTTTAAAAGCTGAGTTTCACTATTTTTTAATTCATTCAGCTGATCTCTGGGTCTGGCGGGAGCACTTTCAGCCTAGCTTAGCATAAACTGTTGAATCAGATTAGACCATTAGCATCTCGCTAAAAAAAAAATCGAATTTTCTGTAGCTCTGTAGTTACATCATACAATCTAAATATTATTAATCATACAATGAATCATACAATCGTAAATAAGAGTGATTGTAATTGAAAAGTTGCTATTTTTTAGGTCGATATGGCTACTATATTCTCATTCTGGTGTAATATTTAAAGAACTTTTATAATTACAAAATAGCAACTTTTTATTTCCATTCATGCATGATATAACAGAATAGTCAAGCTTTAAACAAGATAAATATCGAAACTCTTTTTTAAAAGTTTGAGCAAGATGCTAATGGTTTAATCCGATTCATTAATCTATGCTAAGCTAAGCTAAAAGTGCTCCTGCTAGACCCAGAGATTGGCTGAATAGATTCAAAAATGGTAAAACTAAACTGTTTAACTCTATGAGAAATGTAAAATGAGCTTTCTTTTAAAAGTGGAGTGTTCCTTTAAGCAAATGTGCTGTTGAGGAGTGAGCTGAAAATGGGGTAAATTTACTGCTGATGTAAGTTTATAGACCAGAATAGTTGCAATGTGTCTGGTTACCTGTATTAATGAAGCTGCGGGATGTCTGCGTTTCTCAAAGTGTTTCTGTCTGTGCTGTTCCTGAACTTTCAGAGCCAGACCTGAACCAAGAATGCCCTACAAACATAAGAGATTATATTTTCAACAAACCTTTTATGCATTTTGGCCTTTCATTTACTGTATATGACACCTTTTATTGGCAACCAGTAAATGTGCACTTTTGAAATTGGTTTGAAAGTACAGAGACCAGAAAGGGACGTGATGGTGGGGGAAAAAATAGGTGGACGATAAAAAACTGGATGAGAGTGATAGGAAAACTTTTTGTTTTTTTAAGTTTTTGCGTTCACTTGCACAGATGTTTGCCTTATCTAGCAAAGATGTTTTGTAAGGGAATGCAAAGATGCAAAACAAACATTTCCTGTTCACTTCATACATGTCAACCCAGGATTTTTTATTTATTTATTTTTGTGAGGATTCTCCCGTATTTTACCATTCTATCCAGCTATCATCCTATCATTAAGTATTTTCCCATATTTCTGATATATTTTTAATCTTTAAAGCATGCTGAAACTAATATAAAAATGTCTGCATTCACTTTCTTTCCATTAAAGCTGTACATCGATCATCGCCCTTTATATGCAACCTCTATATCAGTGAATACATGTATAAGCAGTGACTGTCGAAAGCGTTCCGTATGATAAACTGATCCCAGATCAGCTTCAGTACACCCCATTTAAAGTGACACCTCTGTTATCAAACAAGTGAAGAGCAGCAAATGAATTTCTCATTTTGTTTTGTTTGATGGCAGAGGTGTCACTGTAAGAATGCAGAGATCTATAATGAAAGCATTCAATTACTTCAGGAACTGTCTGTGTTCATTTAGAAAAAATTAGCAATTAGTTTAAAAAAAACAAGCAGGACGGACATGTTTACAAATTATTAAGTGTATTTGTCTGTTTAAATGTATCTTTTACAGTCTATGGCAGGGGTGGCCAACCCAGTTCCTCGAGAGCCACCTTTCTGTAGATTTTAGTTGCAACCCATATCAAACACAACTGCCTGGTAGCAACTGAAATCTGCAGGAAGGTGGCTCTCCAGGAACAGGGTTGGCCACCCCTGGTCTGTGGTTTATACACACACCCGAATCCCAAAGTGTCCAGCACTTTTGCTTCCCTTTTAAATGGGGTGTACAGAAGCTGATCTGGGATCAGTTTATCATATGGAGTGCATCCGTCAGTCAGCCAGTGCTTGTACATGTATTCAATGATTTAAAGGTTGCATATGAAGGGCGATGAACGAGGCACAGCTTTAATGGAAAGAAAGTGAATGCAGACATTTTTATATTAATTTCAGCGTGCTTTCAAGATTAAAATATATAAGAAATATGGGAAAATACTTAATGATAGGATGATAGCAGGATAGAATGGTAAAATACGAGAGAATCCCAGTAAAAACGGGAGGGTTGACATGTATGAAGGAAACAGAAAGTGTTTGTGGAAAAACGGTTTTGCGAGGGAACGCAAAACATCTTTCCATACCTTCGCAAAACATCTTTGCATTCCATTGCAAAACATCTTTGCATTCCTTCACAAAACATATTTGCGAGATAAGGCAAAACATCTTTGCAAAAAAAAAAAAAAAAGTTTTCCTATCACTCTGTTTTTTTCTCCCACCCAGTTTTTTCCCCCCCACCATCACATCTCTTCTGGTTCTCCATATGAAAGTGCAGATTTTTGACTGTTATTGTCTTTGATAAGACACAACTTTGTACTCATCATGTTCAGTTTTTAGGTATGCGCAAGTATTTGACAACCAAAAAAAAGAATGACCAACTATATCACAGGGCTGTGTTTGTGCCTCCTTAAGTGATAGTTGACCAAAAAATGTAAATTTATTCACTCTTCATGAGCCATACTATGTATTATGTCAGTGGCTACTGGATTACAACATTTTTCAAAAGTATCCTCTTTTGTGATGAACATAAATAAACATCTCTTACATATTTTGAAAGGTGAGTAAATGAGGTCGGAATCTTCATATTTGGGTGAACTAACCCTCTACGCTGCTTGATTTTAAAGTGTTGTCAATGCTTCATTGCTGCACTATTACAATGTTTAATGGACCTGTGACTGCATGCAAAAGTACAACTGACATTTCAATATATGTGTTTACATCTTGTTTGATGCGTTGTAACTTTTTACTTCAACTTTTTTGTGTAATGTATACACGTTTATGCATGTACAACACAAAGCTCTCATAACAGTCCCAAGTCCAGATACTGTATTACTTCCACAAACACCTAAATCATAGCTTGAAGCACAAATGGATAAGAAAATATGGCGATAGTACAATAGTTTACCCGAAATCATAATATCCTCACCCTTCACTTGTTCCAAACCTGGATGACTTTCTTTCTCCTGTTGAACACTAAAGAAGATATTTTGAAGAAAGCTGAACCATTGACTTCCTTAGTATTTGTTTGAAGTCGATGGTTACAGATTTTCCATTTCAACATAAGAAATAAACTCATTTATGTTTGTAACCACTTAACATTTTCATTTTGGGTGAACTAATTGCTTTAAGTGACCTTTAAAGGTAGTGTTGTTCACATCATGGAGAGTTGTAAAATATAAATTTACCACTCTAAAACATTCAGCTGAAGCTGAGAAAATCATGATTGATAAGAGTGTCTTAGTAGTCATTTAAAGTATAATTGTGGATACATTTTAATATCTTCACACATACTGTACATGTTTTTACCATCTTCAGCAGTTTTTTGTTCTTGTACCATCTGTTTCTTCTGTGAAAGAACCGCCCTGGTTGAATGTTGACACCTTGTGGACAAACTAAGTAGTGCAAAAACAATTCAAAGCACGTGCGTATGTGTGGGTACAAAAACCAGCCATCTGGAAACTAAGTTTGCATCTAACACACTATATGTGGACCCTGTTGTACACATTCATTAAGTATTTTCCATTATTTCTGATATATTTTTAATCTTTAAAGCACGCTGAAACTAATATAAAGATGTCTGCTTTCACTTTCTTTCCATTAAAGATGTGCAATGATCATTGCCCTTCATATGCAACTTCTGAATCAGTGAATGCATGTATAAGCGCTGACTGATTAACGCGCTTCGTATGATAAACTGATCCCAGATTCAAACCAAATTAAACATTGGGCTTCAACACACATTCATTCAATCATTTTCCTTCAGCTTAGTCCCTTATTTATCAGGAATTGCCACAGCGGAATGAACCACCAACCATTCCAGCATATGTTTTAAGCAGTGGATGCCCTTCCAGCCGCAACCAGGTACTGGGAAACATCCATACACACTCATTCCCACACACTCATACACTATGGCCAACTTACTTCATTTAATTCATCTATAACACATGTCTTTAGACTGATTGGCTGATAAATAAAGTATTTCCAGGTAGATCCTGATCACATTCAAGTTCCATATAACTATTTCTACTGTCATTGTACAGTCTAAAACAGCAAATAATTAAATCAAAACAAAAGGATTTGGATGACATGCGCATATAAAACTCTTCCTGCACACAAGGTGGGTCTGAAAACAAAACACTCCCAAATGTCTTGAAATACAACATCTGAATAGTGTCTTTAGGCGTGCTAAGAATTTTATTTATTTATTTTCACAAAAAAGACAGCGTACATTTATCAGTGGTGTAAAGTAACAAATTACAAATACTCAAACTACTGCAATTGAGTAATTACTAAGTAGTTTGAAAAATGTGTATTTTTACTTTCCCTTCAGTCCATTTTTAGTGCTGTATCGGTACTTTTACTATCCTTCAACATGCAGTCACTACTTTATTTTTTCTTCAGTCCTGTGATTCCTGTATAATGAAGTACTTCAACACATGGGTGATTAATAATTGCAGCAAACTGTTTGGAAGAATTAAAAGTGTCCAAGTAGATGTCCAAAATCTTTACAAGCATTGACCCAGAGACTGTTTAGATGCATGTCACTGATGAGAAGATGATGGATATTTACTGTATGATGACCGAAATGGCCTTAAACACCCAGCAGGCACCAGACGTCAACATGACGTCAGATTAAAGTTGTACCAACATCGTGGGGGTATTGCATTTTGTTTGGAAATGAAAATCGGGTTGACATCAGAACCCAAAGTCAGGCTGACGTCAATGTCCAACCTAAAATCAACCAAAAATCAACATCTAATGGTACAGCTTGACGTTGTGTGGACGTTACCACTATGACGTCTATCAGATGTTGCCATACTTGATGAATAAATGTCAGTATTTGACGTCAATATGACGTTGGTTTAAGATATTAGCTCGACATTGGATTTTAGTCACTTTTTAACACAACTTAAAATCAACGTCATTTGACGTCTTTAAACGCTGACTAGACATTTAATTTTGGTCACCTGACATCACAACCTAAATTTAACCTAATGTTAACTTCTTATGACATTGTGTGCCTGCTGGGCAATAACTAAATGCACTACAGAATGTTACGTTTACACACATCCACAAATTACATGTAAATCATCAGCTTTTTACAGCGTAATACTCACTACTCACAAGTCTTGAGTACTTTTGAAAGGTCTACTTTTTACTTTACTAGTATTATTTATAACAGATACTTTTACTCTATACTTGCACTATATTTTTGGACAAGTAATAGTAATTTTGCACAAGTATAATATTTCAGTACTCTTTCCACAATTGACATTAATCAACATTCCTCAAGAATGTAAATGTCCCCAAATTAACCTAAAAGTTGGCATTCATTGACAGACTCTTTTGATAAATGTTATAAGCCTAAAAACCAACGGAAATAGAAATTGTAATTATAAACAAAACTCAAATATACAAATGAGCAGCAGTTAGAAGTTATATAAAAACTTATTGTCACAATGTTGATGATTAAGAAGCCATTTCTGAAAATTATACTTAAATGAATCAAACGATACACATTCTCTAATACATTGTTGATTTACATTTCACTATTGTGATCCTTTAAAAGAAAAAAAATAGCTTGACTTAATTTGTCTAAGTGGAATAATGCACCTCGATTTGATTCCAATTATGAATTAAACTGAATAAAAGTCAGCCAGTTAAACCATGAATAATCTTGCAATATTTATTCATTCATTTTCTTTTCGGCTTAGTCTCTTTATTAATCTGAGGTTGCCACAGCAGAATGAACTGCCAACTTATCCAGCATATGTTTTACGCAGCAAATGACCTTCCAGCTGCAACCCAGTACTGGGAAACATCCTTACACACTCATTCACACAAACACAAACACACATTCATACACACACAAACACACAATTATTTAATTCACCTATGCCGCATGTCTTTGGACTGTGGGGGAAACCAGAACACCCAAAGGAAACCCACGTGAACACGGGGAGAACATGCAAACTCCACACAGAATGCAAACTGACCTTTCCAGGACTCGAACCAGCAACCTTCTTGCTGTGAGGTGACAGTACTAACCACTGAGCCACCATGTTGCCTGAAAACTAAACTGTTCCAAGAGCTTGTTTGCATTCCTTACTTATCCTATTTTATATATTCAGTAATAAAAACAATTTTGAAAAAGCATCATAGTGCCTTTTACACATATACTGTAACATGAAATAGCGTAAATGTAAGTTCTGTAAAAAAACAAGCTGTACTTACGGCTGGAAGTGCAAAGAATGATACGCCAATAAGAGCGAAGGTCCCGGCCAGAAGACGCCCTGCCCATGTCTTTGGGGTCTTGTCACCGTAACCGATGGTGGTCAAAGTGATCTGACACAAAAGGGAAATCATATGTCATCAGCAGGATTAAAGCGAGCACGACTAAGAGCCTATCAAAGTACTTGAGCTGTAAAACCGTTAGAAAGGTAGTATTAATGGAGCGGCCGTTAACGTCACGAAAGGAGGTTTAAATGGAGCTGCTATTAAACCATCACTATCTGTACTGATGGAACTAATGTAAATCTGTCACGAATGGAGGTGGTAATGGAGATGCTGTAAAAGGAGCTGCCTCACATTTTAAAAATCACTCTTGACCTTGTAACACAATGTTTTAGATTTGATTGGATCTCTACACGGAGGAAAGCTTTTATGCATGTTCACCACAGCAGCACAGAAATGCTCAAATTTATTGAAAAGGTGCATAAAAAGGTCAAGAGAGAAAGAGAGACAGCAAGCATTTTATTTATTTATTTTTTGTCCCTGCTATTTATTTGGTGTATTTGTAAAGCTGTTTTCATACATTTTCTCTTGTATATATGTGTTTTTATAATAATGCAGGTTTGGTACAAACTTTAAATGTCCATTAATTTAAAAGCAAGCATGGCATGAATTAAAAAAAATCTGTTTATATCCATCAAATTTGATTTTATTATTACTATTTAATATTTATTATTATTATTTTATTATTACTTCCTAATTAACAGTGTACACTGCCTGACAAAAATCCAAGCTTTAGGAACAGCAAATAATAACTTGACTTCTAGTTGATCATTTGGTATCAGAAGTGGCTTATATGAAAGGCCTCTAGATTACGCTTATTTTACCAAAATAAAATATGATCGTGCCTTGATTGTTAATTATTTAATTTGGACAGTAAGGTCTGACTTTGCTGAGACAAAAGTCTTGTCACTTTACATAAATAATGTACAGTATAGAATATAATCTATGCATCTATACATCTCTGCAATGACTCACATAACTTATTAATAAAGTCATCTAGACTAGCAAAGAAAGCGTTCCTGCAGGACTCTCAGAGTTCATCAAGATTCTTTGAATTCATCTTCAATGCATTCTCCTTCATCTTATCCCAGACATGCTCAATAATGTTTGTATCTTGTGAATGGCATGGCCAATCCCGAAGCATCTTGACCTTCTTTGCTTTTATGAACTTTGATGTGGAGGCAGATCTCTCACACGCCCCCATACTGAATGTAACCCCAAACCATGATTTTCCCTTCACCAAAATTGACTGACTTCTGTGAGAATCTTGAGTCCATGCAGGTTCCAATAGGTCTTCTGCAGTATTTGTGATAATTAGAATGCAGTTCAACAGATAATTCATCTGAAAAATCTACATTCTGCCACTTTTCCTAATGATCAACTAGAAGTCAAGCTATTATTTGTTCCTCTTACAACTGGGATCAACGACAAGACTTTTGTCAGGTAGTGTAAAAATTTTACTCTTCAAACAGATGTGTGCACACTTCAAAATCTATTAACATAAAAGTTAGCAAGAAATGAAAATTCCAATAATCTATTACGAACTGACAATCAAATGTAAATGACAGTTTTACCAAAACTTGCATTGTTTCAAGAGGAGGTTATTTTGATCATCAATTAATACAATATTTAAAAACTAATGAACAACATTGTGCACAGATAAATCACTGATAAAATACTGCAATATTTCATAAAATATACATGAACAGTTAGTTTTTATTTCATGGTTACTATATAAGGTCATATACAGTTGAAGTCAGAATTATTAGCCCTCCTTTGATTTATTTATTTATTTTTAAATATTTCCCAAATGGTGTTTAACAGAGCAAGGCAATTTTCACAGTATGTCAGATCATATTTTTTTTTCTTTTCGAAAAAGTCTTATTTGTTTTATTTCGGCTAGAATAAAAGCAGTTAAAAAATTTTTATGAACTGTTTTAAGATTAAATAATTTACCCTTTAAGCTATTTTTTGACTGTCTACAGAACAAACCATCATTATACAATAACTTGCCTAATTACCCTAACCTGCCTAGTTAACCTAATTAACCTAGTAAAGCCTTAAAATGTCACTTTATGCTGTAGAGAAGTGTCTTGAAAAATATCTAGTCAAATATTATGTACTGTCATCATGACAAAGATAAAATAAATCAGATTAGGTTAAATTAGAAACGAGTTATTAAAACTATTATGTTTAGAAATGTGTTAAAAAATCTTCTCTCCATTAAACAGAAGTTGGGGGGAAAATTAACAGGGGGGCTAATAATTCTGTGGGGCTAATAATTCTGACTTCAACTGTACATATCAATTTTATCATTTTGAAAGTTTATTTTTGGCTTGTAAAGGACTCTGTAAGCTACATTTACAATGCTATTTATAAAGTTTTCATGAGCTTCTACACTTTTCCAATTAAAAGCACACAAGCTACTTGGTAAAAACATAAATAGCAAACATTATTCAGGACATATTTGTGTACTAAGTGTTTTTCTCAATTCAATTGAAAGGGGACCTATTATGCCCCATTTTTATAAGAAATCAATGATGCCCCTAGCGTGTGTATGTGAAGTTTCAGCTCAAAATACCACTCTGTGTGTACCACTCAAATTTTTTCCACATTTTTCGAGTGCCTTGGACTGATTTTTGCTGTTTATTCTGATGAATCCCTTACCCAAAGAGCACCGACACATTATTTAAGCTACCCCTTTTGTTTGATTTAGGATTTTCAATGTTTTATAACTGCGAAGTTCACCCAACTTTAAGATGATTTTGAGGCGGAGGAGGAGGGAAAGGGCCATCATCACAGCTTGCGCCTATGGTTTATATAGGGTGTCACTGACTCATTTTCCCACAGGAAAAGAAGGGAGGTAACTTCTGTCGCCGACCACTGACCACTTTCCTTCTCTATGTTTCCTCTGTTGTTGTTGTTTACCACGTCGACGTCTCCACACAAGCTCTTCCTTCTACGTCATTAAACCGCAGAGACGTATCACATTGTCACAAGTTTAATGACGTACAAAACGGAATGCCCCAACAAATCCGATCTGCCTGTTTACATGATAGTCCCAATGTCACATATCTGGCCTCAAAATGATTTCTGAAAATCCCTATGTGTGCTTTTTTTTATTTTGTGTTTACATAGAACAGATCCGATCTGTCACATATGAGCAAAAAATCTAAATTGGGTCACATTCAACTGGCAGTGTAAACAGGGTCTTCGTCGCTGCCATTATTTTCAGCAGGTACGGTGTGAAAAATCAAATGGCAGATTGCTGCTTCTCACCTAGGGCTGTCTATGCTAATGAGAGAGAGATCATCACTAATGAATGGGGCTTTCCCACTCTGATGACATGTACAAAGGGAGAATGCCAATCAAAGTGTTTCTATATGAAGTGTGATTATAAAAAAATCTAATTCATACATTTTTTACCATTAGAGGCTGGCTATATTCACACACTGTTGCCACACAACTGCATTTAAATCCATTATAAAAGTGATTTTTGCATAATAGGCAGCCTTTAAAAAATATTCTGAATGCCTAAGAGTGCTGTGTGTGATTCTCACCAGTCCCCACCAGAGGGCGTCTGCATAGGTGTCAAAGTCCTGCGGGGCCGGTGTCGGTGAAGGGCCATCAGTGTCTCTGTGGAGCTCTGTGGTCTCATCGTCCTTCTCGACCAGATACACCAGGAAAGAAGCCAGGATCAATGACAGGAAGCCGATGTACCACGCTGTGATCAGCTCCTAAAAAACGCACACAGTTGAGTTTGTCTGCAGCCAGGAGATCAAACATCACCAGACACTGATACAGGATTGTTTGTGCTTGCGTATGTACTTTCCCCTGTATGTGTGTGTGTGTATGTGTGTGTGTGTTTATAGCAGATTTAAAAGATGTGAGTGTGTGTTTACGTTGTTTACTGTTTGTATACTGCCGACCCCATCAGTTTCTATGACATGATTCAAACAAACAGGACAATCGTTCCGATGTTGATCGGGGGCTACGGACTGTTTGTGTACATCACATCACATTCGGATACCTTGCTGTGTGTGTATATTGCAGATCCCAGCAGTTTCCAGGTTCCTCCGCGTCTGTCCATTCGCAGCATCCGGAGGATCTGCAGGAAACGCAGACTGCGCAGCGACGTGGCCAACACATTTCCCTGATTACGTACGGCAACCACCGGCACCGAAGCGATCAGAACAAAAATATCTGAGAACATACAAAATAAGCACAAACGGCAATAAACAATAAAGTTAAAACTATAATTAAATATGATTACAAGTATGTTTAGTTACTAAAGGAAAGACTAAACAAAGCCGCAGTTCACTATCAAGCTACACAACATTTGTAAACATTTGAATTTAACCTTGGGTAGTTCAAATTTACTACCCTTTTGTTATGTTGGTGGCTGATTTTGCTCCATTGACTTCCATTATAAAGACATTTTTTGATTGTTGGGCGTTTTCCATGTTGGGAAGAGATCATTTTTACTGTTTATTATCAATTGGCACCATTAACCCGAGCTTGTGAAAATGTTTCCAATTTTTATATAAATAATAAATTATAGTGTGTGTGCTTAAATACACTTAATATGTTTACTATGTTCTAAAAGCTGAGCTACTTATTTTGATTTTCTAAGACATATCAAGGTAAGTGTGCAAAGGTCTCTCTTACACTATCACACACTCACACATGCACACACTTTTTTGCATTGCAACTGATGATCAACGGTAAAAGTGTAAAATATTACCTCTTCCCAACAGGGAAAACCAGCAACAATAAAGAATGCATAATTATATATAGTGTCATGGCATTGCAGTCAAAAAAAGTCCTCATAATGGAAGTCAATAGGGCAAAAACAGTGACTAACATAATAAAAGAGTAGCGAATTTGCCCACAGTGTATTATTGAATTTTTTTATATTTTCAAAGCATTTTCCCAAAGTATATGTCAAAATAAGATAAGTCACCAAAATCCTTCCATTTGCTGAAACACAGAGAAAGTTGTGGCTATGTTAAGACTCCCCAGAGTGGATGAAAACATCCCCAACATTAAACATTTAATAGCATGGGCTTACTTCAAATTCTATTCAGAACTTCAGCCAAATGTTTAAAATAAATCCTTCTGTGAGGTGATTCTGTAGTCATGTGAATTCTGTAGTCGTGTGATTAATAGTCACACTGAATCAATGAATGTAGTTAAATCTGGTAGTTAAATCTAGAAGAGATATAGCTGCAGATACTTGGGCATACGCACATCGATATAGCATAATGTTTTTGACACTTTACAAAAATAGTTTTTGGGCCCTCTCATACACCCGGCGCAATGTGGCGCAACGCAAAAGTTGTTTGCTAGTTTTAGCTAGGCGCAAGAGTCGTTTTGACGTTTTGCTGTTTAAATAGCAAATGCATTTGCGCTCATATGTGCGCCCATAGGCGTTCTGGTCTAAAAAAGAAGGCGTATTGCTGGTGCGTTGCTATTTTGAGGAACTTAAATAGAAGGTTCAAATAGATCAGATCAAAGCTGGTCTATTGTCCAGTGCAGAGCGCGTTAGTTGTGTGCCTGGCTTACACATTGCTTAATACAGACAGGATGTACAGCAATACGCAAATATCTTTACAAATGAAAAATAATCAAAATATTAAGGATATATATAGGATATAATAAGGATATATAGCCTATAGGATATAAATATAAAGGATTAAAATATTCCAAAACATATTATTTTCTAGCCTAAATAAATATAAAAGCCGGATTTTTTTTTTTAAAAAGCGGATTTTTCCATCCTTAAATTAGCAAAAGTGGATTCCGACATGCCCTAATTGCTTTGCACTTTGCGCATAGATCGTCAAAATAGAGCCCTTTCAGGGGCGTCGGGGGAGACGAGAGAGGGAACAAGCGTGTTTTGGCCCAGTACAAGGCAACTTTACATAGTGTGATTACGGCCTTATTTGCTGTGCAGTTTCTGTGCGAGAGCACCCTCTGGCCTTTGGAGGAGATTTACTACTGATCACAGAGCAGTGCTTTTCTGACAAGATGTTCATGACGAGATCAGCTTTTGCTAAAACACTATGTTAAAAAGCAATTAACACACAAAAAAAATCTTATACAGTACCGATGCATCTCATTAAATTAGAATGTCATAGAAAAGGTGATTCATTTCACTTAGGGCTTACTCACACTATGCTATCCAAACTGTGCCTGTGCCCATTTCCCAGTTCGTTTGACAAGTTTCAGTGCTCCAAATCAGGCTCGGGCTTAATTCAGTTGGCCGGTTGGAAGAGGTGTGCCAGAGCTTGATACGGTTGGGCTTCGGTGCGTTATGCTTGTAGTGTGAGGGCAAAGAGCAAACTAAAGAAGAGATTGTTTCAAATAATTTTGTTTACTAAAGCTGTTTTTTAAAACGATGACGTTCTAATTTATTGAGATTCACCTGTATATATCGGCCCCTAAAATCGGAAATTTTTTAATTAAGCATCAATAAAGTGTTCTTGTATTTATTTTAAAGCCCTATTACATGAATTTCTGGAATACTTGATTCTGGTCAATCATGAGATTCCATAATTGAATCATCTTGACTGTTAATATATTTATACAGGCTATATACGCAGTTGACGTCAAACTATTAGCCCTACTTTGAATTGTTTTTCTTTTTCAAATATTTCCGAAATAATGTTTAACAAAGCAAGGAAATTTTCACATTATTTCCAATAATATTTTTTCTTCTGGAGAAAGTCTTATTTGTTTTATTTCAGCTAGAATAAAATAAAAGCAGTTTTTAATAAAAAAAAACACATTTTAAGGTGAATACTGATATCGTTCCTAAGCAATATTTTTATTTTATTGTCTACAGAACAAACCATTGTTGTTTAGTTTTGCCTAATAACCCTAACTTGCCTAATTAACCTTTAAATTGCACTTTAAGCTGATTACTACACTGCAAAAAAAAATGCTTACGTAGATTTTTTTGTCTTGTCTTTAATCCAAATATCTAAAAATTGTTATATTAAGAAGCATTTTCTAGGCAAACAAAAGATAAAGTCTTTTCTTTTTTGAAATAGTATGGCAATATCAAGTGAGTTTTTCCTTAAAAACAAGCAAAATAATCTTGCTTTTGCTTTTGACATAAGATTATTTTTCTTACCCCATTGGCAGATTATTTTGCTTGTTTTAAGGAAAAACTTGCTTCATTTTGGCCCATTATTTTTTAAAACAAGACATTATGTTTTGCTTGTCTAAATATTTATTCTTTATTTAAGAATTTTTAGGTATTTGGACTTGAAACAAGACAAAAAAACATAAGTAAGAAAAGTTCCAGTGTAATATCTTGAAAAATATCTAATAAAATATGATGCACTCTCATCATGGCAATAATAAAAAACAAATATTAGTAATTAGTGATGAAAAAAATCTTCTTTCCGTTAAACTAACATTTTGGAAAAATATACAGGGGGGCTAATAATTTAGGAGGGTCAAGCCACTGCTCTTAACTTTTTGCTGCCATCTTCTGACTAAACAGTAAGCAAGTAGGTTAGTGTAAACTGCATCCAGTCAAAGGTCTCATAATGCAAATCAAAAGTGCAAATAAACCGAAAAGAACCATGAATCACAAAATATTTTTACAGCATAATGCCTGCTTGCTTCTATTGCTTGTAAGTCCATATCTTCTGTTAGTGTGTGTCCTGATTTGCTCCTTGCTGATGTTTAATTAAAGACACTGTGACAGTATATGCATATGTGTGTTTGTGTTTAAGTGAGAGTGTGTGTTTGTTTGGGTCGGTGTGTTGAACTCACCCAGGACACACAGCGGTTTGCGGGCGAATTTGAGCCGTCCTCTCCAGCCTTTATATCGACAGCAGCAGCCGGCGGCCCATATCCTCAACGCAAACTCACCTCCAAAAATAAAGATGGTAAACGTCTCCTACAGGTGAGAGAAACAGTCAGTCATTTTCTTCTCAACACACATACACAAGTACAGAATACACATACACTCACCAGAATCACCAGCCAGTGAGCCGAATCCTTCTCGTGCTCTTTGAATGTTGTTAATATCGACAGAATCAGACATCCCAAAACAATCAGAAACCTAGAGAATAACAAACAGGGATTGTGATCTTTGACCAAATACTCATATCTTAATATCCTAATACACTTCCGACAAAGATTATACAGAAGCATGATATATATAAAATGGATTTTTGCAATCACAGATAACTCCATTTTTAGTCATTTTTAGATATAGGGCCCTGTCATACACCTGGCGCATTGCGGCGCAAGACGCAACGCAATTGTTGTTTGCTAGTTTCAGCTCGATGCAAGAATCGTTTTGACGTGTTGCACCACGCTGTTTAAAGAGCAAATGCATTTGCGCTCATATGTGCACCCAATAGGCGTTCTAGTCTAAAAAAGGAGGTGGGTTAAGGCGCGTTGCTATTTTGAGGAGCTATAATAGACTAGAATAAAGTCCAGCGCAGAGCGCATTAGTTGTGCGCCTTGCTTAAACATTGCTTAATGCACACAGGATGTACAATTTGCAAATATCTTTACCAATAAAAAATAATTAAAGAATTAAAATATTACAAAAATTATTATTTTCTAGCCTAAATAAATTTAAAAACCACTGCCTCCATGCCTTCTTCATCTTGTGGGGGCTTTTTTAGTTTATTTATGATAATTTGCTTTTGTAAAGTTATTATTATTAGTAGTAGTAGTATTTACTATATGCATATTTATACCTGTTTTATTAAAAACAAGCTTAGATTTGCCCACCTGTCAGGTTTTAGACCATATGTGTTAGGATATAACTCAGATTTTTGAACACACTTCGTTATTGTTGTTCATTTATTTGTTTGCTGGAAATCAGAAATGAATTTAGAAATAATTTTGAAACACATCTTTGCATTTAATAAACAAAATTAATTATTTATAGGCTAATGGATGTCTGTGCGTATAACACGTTTCCCTATCCACGAGAGTGAAATTGAAAGTAAAGAATGAGAAGGCTCTTTCCCTCATTCTCACGCTGTAGATCAGGGCTGCTCAATCCCGTTCCTGGAGATCTACCTTCCTGCAAAACGCAGCTTTCACCCTGTTCAAACACACCTGAACCAATTAATTAGGACCTGAACAGCACTTGATAATTAAAGGCAGGTGTGTTTGAAATGGGTAGCAACTGAAATCTGCAGGAAAGTAGATCTCCAGGAACAGGGTTGAGCACCCCTGCTGTAGATGCTCTGCTTAACTGCTTTCTCTCTAGTGAAGCATTCAGTTTTTCCACTTACAAAGTTCGCCATGTAAATAGCAAATGTGCCATGGCGCTACGCAACTGGCTCTTAAAGGAAATGGGAGATGAGACTCTGATTGGTTTATTCTCAAAGCACACCTAAAACTCATTAAGAGAATAAGCTCAACCCTGTTAGACAATGCGCCACAGCGCAAAGCGGTTTTTCCGTCCTTAAAATAGCAAAAAGTGGATTCGGACACACCCTTAATGGTTTTGCACCCTAAGCTTTGCGCCTGGATCGGCAAAATAAAAGAAAAGTTTTTAAAGTATTTTTTAATATTTAGTATTTATACTATATGAAATGCAAAAATACAGTATTTATTTGGATGCATGGTGTGGCTATTGAATGTTTATGTTGATAAACATAAAATTAAAGGTGCAGTACTAGTTATTGTATTCCTGAATCAAAACAAACGCAAATACAGGTTGCCAGATTTAGGACCAGGGGCAGGAGCGAGTCTGACTTTCGAGCCTAAAGATCTGATTTAAGGCTGATTTAAATTGTGTTCTATATAAAAGGGCAGCCTGAAGGAATATTCTCCATATTAAAAGCAGTTTTTGTTCTAACCTAATATGGAATTAATATATTAGAAACGGTTTCTATCTCCTGCTGAACAACAGAGAACTGTCAATGATTACTTCAGGTACACCTAATGTGCTTTATTCAGTGTTAAATGCTAACAATGTGAGTTTGAATGCCATTTTACATGACATTTATTGCCATACAACTGAAAGCAGCAGCAAATAGTTCACCTCAGATCTTGAAAATAAACCGTTTGCAGTTAAACTTTAGAACTGTGACTTAGTTAAAAATAACATATATCAGTGATTCAGCATAATGTTAAAGAGGTTTAGTATGTTTTAATTAGATTATAAAGCGTACCATTCAGTGAATGAGTGCATATTCTGTGCCTCTGAATGGCTGTATTTAAGTTTTGTCTGGTGCAAACAGCTATATTGCTTAACACTGCAAATTCCTGCTCAATTAATGTTTACGTTAGGAATATTTCTATTATTTGCTAATTAATCATGTGGAATCTGCTTTTCAATTCGGAGTCTGCAATGTCCACCGGAGGTCACACTTCAGTCACAGATGCATATGTAACGGAGGCCAGCTAGTGAAGTGCTGTGCAGGTAAATGGTCTTTGGCCTCCTTGTCAGAGCAACTGACTCCCATGCAGAGAGTAACCGATTCCAATCCAGCTTCAAGCGGGTTGGGTGGTGTAGGACCGAAAGAGTTTCTTTTGTTGCCGTAACCCACATGGGAGTCAGGTTTAGGGAGTGTAATGGAGGCCAGCTAGCGAAGTGCTATGCAGGTAAATCTCAGTGACCTCTAAAAAAAAAGTGCTCTAGTAACAGATGCTAGAAACCATGGTCTTTAGCCTCATTGTAAGAGCAACCGACTCCCATGCGAAGAGTTGCCGGTTCGATCCCAGCTCAAAGCGGGTTTGGTGGTGTAGGGCCGACGTGGTAACACATGCTTTGACAGCCTTCCAGGCTGAATGAATGAAATATGCGGTTTTCCAACAAGGTAACCCATGGTGCTGAAATATAACTGACTGAAGTGGCAGCGGGTGGGTTAAAAGAAACAAAACAAAGACAGACGTTCCAGCATGTAACAGATATTTTCAAAGCAGAATATCTGACTTTAGCATTGTTTTTTAGATAAACACGAATGTTCACTTGGCATGTTTTTTAAATATCTGCAAACATATCATGGTTTATTTATGCTTTAGAAGAGTTAAAAACTTACATACAGCAGCTTTAAAGTATTTGGTATTTTCATTCATTTTTTATTCATCAGGGGTCGGCACAACAGAATGATCTGCCATGTGGTATTTTATTTTAAAATACATTTCATTTCAATGCTCAACCCTGAATACACAATCTTAAAAATAAAGGTTTCAGAAAGAACCAAAAAGGGCACACAGCGATGCCACAGGAGAACTTTAATGAAAAGTATATGTTCTTCATAACATGAAAAACTATTTTATATTCTAAACCACCTCAATCCATTATAAAAAAAATATTTGTGAAATTAAAAGGATGTTACATTAAAGGAAACCTATTTTGCAAAAAGCACTTTTATAAGGGGTTTAAACAGTTGTGTGGTAACAGTCTGTGAATATAAACAGCTTCTAATGGTAAAAAATGTATTAATTTAGCTTTTTATAATCACACCTCATAAAAACAGTCTGCAGAAACACTTTGATTGACATTCTCCCTTTGTACGTGTCATCAGTGGGGATAGGCTCCGCCCATTAGTGATGATCTCTGCCTTATTTGCATAGGACGTTAGTCTTGTTTTTGAATCTGCCACTATGTTGACACAAAGGCACTTGTTGTTCCGCCCTCTTTTGAAAAAAGCACAATCTCAAATAAATTTAAAATGGCACAATTAGAATCAAAGCCTAGAAGAGGCAGATTAAAAATAAAAATATATACCCTGTATATTTGTGGTGTATTTTGAGCTGAAACTTCTCTAGGTACATGTTCTAGACATCAGAGACTTATTTTAGATCTTGTAAAAAAGAGGCATAATAGGTCCCCTTTAAGGGGCCAATAAAGAACCTTTATCCTTTAAAAGTGCACACACTGTTTGTTGTCACTATTAACAAAGCAGGTACAATCTCTCAAACATATTCAATATATAAACATATCTTTCTGAGAATCAGAGATGAAGATCTTTTCAGTTGCTATGGATACCTCAGCTGAGTCATTGTAAAATGTTTTCTTTTTTTTTCCCAGAAAGACCTGCTACCTTTAGATATGGATGATTATCATATGATTTTACCAGCAGAGGGGGCTGTGCATGAACTGCATTCAGCAAGAGAATGACACTTGCACAACAATCTTCCTTTCAAATGCTGAGCTTGCAAGATTTACAGTACAAGCGTTATTTTTTCACGACAGGTAATCAGAAACCTACTGTACACTGTATAGGGCTCTCATTAAATTCCCTTACTGAATTTCAAACCCAAACAATGACGCATGCTGTGCTTGTTTCCTGGATACTTGGGACCAACTATAAGTAGGGGTTGTATTGAATAACAGCACTAAAAAAAAAAAGCATTGGTTATTATTATATTTCAGACTGTATTTTGTTAATTTCAGTACTAGATAGGCTGTGTTGTTCTGAACAATTTTGAAAAAAAAAAAAAAAAAAAAAAACCATAGCCATTGACTTCCATAGTAGAAAGTAAACAAAACATTGGAAGTCAATGGTTACATGTTTCCTACTTTCTTCAAAATATCTTTTTTTTGTATCTGTTCAAACTACTTTTACAAAATGAGCTGAATCAACACAATTCTTGAGTTTTTTCGGGGGACAACTTGATTGTTTCATGTTCAATCCAATTAAATTTGAAACTAGGGATGCAACGATTCCACTTACTCGCCACGATTAACGATACTAATCTCACAATATGATTTAAAAACAATTTTTAAACAAAACTATTAGACACAAATTTAAGGTGAAGAGCCCTTTCATTTTTTTCTTAAATGCTGCAATTTTTATTTATTTATTTATTTTTGCAAAATAATATATTTTCTGCCTTAACCAAATTGCTATTTAAAAAATAAAAAAGAATACAAACTGAAGAAGACTCATTTATATGAACAAACTAAAACTGTGACTGTGCAGGGATTTTAAATTTTCAAAAAGAAATATCAGCACATCTATGTTTTTTATAAGCTGAAATATTTGTACATTTACAATGTCCCCTGCTGCCTTTCCTAAATCAGAGAGCACAGAGCAGTGTGTACATAGGTGGTCAATAGGCCCTCTTCTCCAGGACAGGAGA